AAGTTTTGTCACACTGCCTTCTGCTCATGCGTGCTTATAGTCCGTATTATTATGGTCACGTGATCGAAGTGTGATTGTTGCTGTTACAGTGTAAACATGGCCGCTCCGCTAACAGTGTGTACGAAGGGAGATTGTCCAGCATTCTCTCTCTGTTTCTAAAGACGTTTTCCTATCATTTACCGATTTGCTTAGTTTCTGGAAGATCAATTTCTGTATTCTAATATGCAATATGATTTAAACTGTCTCATTCTGCTTGTAAGTATACGTTTATCCATAATTCCTATTTCATTTAAATCTACATCTTTGCTCACTGGGTCTCTGAATGGTTTTCTTAAAAGATTTCGTTTAAACTGTGATTCTCAAGTATTCACTATCATATAGTACAGGTTCGGTAGCCTTTTGGAGAGAGCAGGTTAGAGAGATATGTAGTGTCTCGGAGGAGGGCTATGATAGCAAATGTACTATAATAAATTGTCCCGGTCTCAGATCACACCGTCCGTAAGGCTGCCTAGGTACTGGAGGTTTAAAGAAAAAGCAAACGAAGGTAATGTTATATTATTCAAAAAATATATGTCTTTATTTCTGAGATGAGGTGTTATGTACACTATTTACATTATTCGGACTATTGTCCTCATCTTTGTCGCCATATTTATTACAACGTTTCGGCCGTTATACGCTCCGCTCTTCTTCAGGTGGTTGGAATTTCGAATTGAACCCTTTATTTTACTCACTGGGGTAGACTGTTCTAGTTCCACGTGCCATTTTTAATGAATATCAGTTATCTCCTGTTAATTCCCCTCTCCAAGTTTTCCATTGCCTTAACCGGGTATTGAACTCACACTCTTTGGGTCATATCACTGGCTCTAAATAACGCCTTTATCCACTCTACTATGTGTCTACCCCAGTGAGCGAAATAAAGGGTTCAGTTAGACATTCCAACCAACTGAAGAAGGCCGGATCGTACAACGGCCGAAACGTTGTAATAAATATGGCGACAAAGATGAGGACAATAGTCCGAATAATGTACATAGTGTATTCAAACAATGTTCCTTATTTTCTTATAACAAAGACTCGAGGCGGCGAAGGTGTGGTTCTACAGAAGGATGCTGAGGATATTATGGACCTAGCGTGTGACTAACGATGAGGTTATTGAGAGGATGCAAACAAGGAGGAAGCTTATACTTAACATCAGGAAAAGGGAGATGAAATTTCTGAGACACGTAATGAGAAAAAAGGGCTTGGAAAATCTGATACCCACAGGTTGAATAGAGGAAGAAAGAGACAAGGGAAAGCAATGCATGGCATACCTAGCGGGTTTATGCATATGGATGACAGAACATGGCTTGGAGAAGTAGCAAAAGGATAAAACTAATTGAGAAGAGATAGGAGGAAGTGGAGAGCTATGATCGCCTACGTCCTGAAAGGACACGACACATAAAAAGAAAGAAAGAACTGGATAATTCCTAACACAATCAACAAAAATGCAAATCCTTTACTACGGTTAAGTTGGCGGGGCGGACAGAAATCTTGCACGGACCGGATGTGGCCCAGGAGCCGGACGGTGCCGACCCTTGATATAGAAGATTAAATGTTACATAGCAGTTTTCTTTATCTCTAAGGATATTTTGCTATCCCTGTCGATCAATAATTTGTCGTTAGAACTAGATATTTCTTTTTTTCTATTCTTACCTTTCTCTGAGACCAGATTGTCCTGAATTCAGTGCCATCTAGGGGACTAGAAGGTTTCGCCCGCTTGCCATCGCATCACAAAGTAAGATATATTCACTACTTGAAATCTTTGAAACAAAAATTTTAAATGAACATTTCATTCATAAATTGGCTTGTTATAGTTAAGGAAAAATGCCAACTTGTTGAAGGCCAAGTAAAACGCAAATTTCAAATACTTTTCTGCACTATATAAGACAATAATCCTAAACAGAACTATTTCTTATATGAAAATCAAAACAATCCTCGAATGAAAGAACACAAATGAAGAATAGTTAATTAATGATTTTTTTAAAACCAATATGCAAATTAGTTAAACTTATAGAATGATATTGCCTAGGAATAGATGATATATAATATAGATATTGAGTCATGGTGCTCTTTTTCTCACAGACGGTGCCCAACTGACCCTACTATACTGTACAGTAAAAAAAAATCAAAAACAAGCAACGCGCATGCGCGAAATTAAAAATATAAAATTGCGACTATTTATCCCTCGCACCTTGTATATTCTATATAACACTAGAGAGGCTACACCCGCTCGCTAAAATAAGATCTAATCACTACCTGAAATATTTAAAAGAAAAATTTTAAATGAATATTTCATTCATAAAACGGCTTGTTATATTTAAGGAAAGTTTTACAAATAGATGCCAACTTGTTGAAGGCCAAGTAACATACAAATTGCAAAGACTTTTTTGCACTATATAAGACGATATTCATAAACAGAACTATTTTTGATATGACAATCAAAACAATCCTTGAATAAAAAAACACAAATGAAGGACAGTTAATTAATGAAGTACACTTTTTTTTTAAATCAATAGGCAAATTAGATGAACATGAAGAATGATATTGCCTATAATATATAATACAGATATAGAGCTTTTAAAGAATACCCGCTCGGCCCGGTGGCTAGGATCAAAGTGTAGTATCTGTGCTTTGTGAGCTGCCGAGCCGGGTGTCTGTCGAACTCTCTGCTTGCAGAGAGGAACCCGGACGAGGCTCTGCCGAAGGGTAGGGTTTCGTTCGGGGAGGTTGACGGAACTAGCCCGCTTGGACGGGTTTAGATGGGTTTTATTTTTGGCTGGGCCTACGGGCTCGGACATACCCACATTAAAAAGGCCTTGTGCCACATTCAATTCCTGTGGGTGAATTGATAAATACCATTACTCTGAATTTGACGCTTACTTATCGTCTCTCAGTTGCGTCTCTGTCTTTGGGCAGAGTGCGCTCAGCGGCGACTCCATCAAAGGACAGAGTCGCAACTGAGGAATATTGTACTGAAGAGGTGTCCCCAACCCTGGGGAACAGCTGCCCGAGGCCGCGCCTTCTCATTGCACTACAGAGAAGGATCAGCACAAGTACACACACATACAATGTACTTTAAATATTATAAAACAATTTATATTTCTTATGTTTTGTATTTAACGACATTTTACTTCTTACATATCGTGACATCTATCAGAGAGACGAAATTTAATTTTTTATTATTGAAATATTCTAAAATTTTAACACATCAGCAGATAGCTATTAATGTCATCAACTGAGCACAAATAGGCATTAATTAAAAGAATTAGTAATTAATGTATAATATTATCCATAATTGCATGCACAAGAATGTCGTTTTTGATGAAAGTTAAAAAATAACCATAAATATGTAAAAAATACATATATTGTCGAAAATTCCTTTTTCCCCAATATAGCTATTTCTGCTATGTTATGATGCTTATTACCTAAACAATAATAATCTCTATCTATAAAAGGCAGGATGTGTATGTGTGTGTGTGTGTAACGAATGCACGGCCGCAATTTTCAACGGTTTTGCACCAAAATTTACATGCACATGCTCCAAGTTAGCGGAAAGGCCAAGACTGACTTTGCATTTCCCAACTTACCTCGATAGTTGAAATAATCGATGTTTTCATGCTTCAACGGCAGTTTTCATGTAGTTTGCGGCCATTTTCTACTGGCCAGAGTGAGAGCCTATAGCTGGCTGCCACGAATAGGCAGGAAGATTCTATTGGCCAGCGTGAGAGCCAACAGCTGACTGACACGAATGTTAACTAGCATGCAAAAAATCGATAGCTGCATTCGTCACAAGTGGGAAAAATTTAAATCTGCATGGCATTTTACTCCAATTAGCTCATTCGCTTGCTTAAACTCAACGTTGATTCTGATTCCGCAGAACTGGGTTTGATGTGAAAAATTATTTGTTGTTAACATTCTTTTTTCATTCGGTTTTTCCAGTTACGAGACATTTTTTAATGCTGATCGTTTTGTGTTCATTTTGTTTAGTTCTTTTTTCGTAACAGATTTAATGTTTAGTATAGAGCTTAGAAAAAATTCTCAGTGTGAGATAGGCAAGAAGTAAGGCATGTGGCAACATCAGAACGGCAAAGGGCAGTCCTTTAAATGCAAGGAAGAGCAAAAATATTTTAAGTCAAGTGATAGCGATTGCTGTATGAGTCGTACGATTTTTGAATCAAGCACGGGCAACGACGGGCCATGCTGCTAGTACTGAATATTTTATTCTAAACATTAAAGTATATTTAATCACATCTCTATAATAGCTATCGTGATCTATCAAGACTTTGTATTCATCTGTAGAACGACGTTTTTTGTTTGATTCAAGTCTCTTCTAAATCTGCAAAGAGATTGTCCAACATTCGCTACTATATATAAAATATTTCGTAGCTGTTAAGCAATCTTTTCTAACGATATTTTCCGATCTCTTAATATTATATATTTGTCTGTATGTCACATTTTTGTCTGTTTTAAGCCTCTTCTAAATCTACGAAGATATTGTCCAGCAATGTGACCTCTGGTAAAAAAAAAAAAATGATAACAGTAAAAATTGCAATATGAGCACTAGTAAAAATGGTTGCTAAAGATATTAGGTTTATAATACCCAGAAATTCGGACACCGATGTCTTCAAAGACACGAGGGACAGTGGGTAAAGGCATTAGTTAGATCCTATGACTGGACCTAAAGAGTGTGAGTTCAATACCAAGTTAAGGCGTGAAGAATTTCAGAGGGGAATTAACTGGAGATAACTGACATCCGTTAGACGTGGAACTAGAACAGTCTACCCCAGTGGGCGAAGTAAAGGGTTCAGTTCGACATTCTAACCATCTGAAGTAAGCCGGAGCGTACAAGGGCCGAAACGTCGTGATAGACATGGCGACGAAGATGAGGACAATAGTCCGAATAATGTAAACATAGATCATTAATTGTTCGCTTTTACAATCAGCCCATTCTGCAAGTACATCTGATGTCTTTCTACTTTCTTTCTATTCCTCCAAAATCTAATCAAAATATTTTTATTTCCTTTTCATTATCTCTCTGCGTTTATGCATTTTTTCAGATATAGTTCTTCTTTTAATGCGACCCATATCATAGGTGAACGTTTCTGTTACGTTTACGATTGTTCGGTCAATGAATTCTGCAGCTGCAAGTGCTGTAATCTATGTCGCTTTTAACAAATATCTCTACCCTTATCGTCACCAAAGCAAGAGAGATATCTCCAATATAGTAAAATATTCCAGAAATTTAAAACAGAATATACAGGTTGTCTATAAAGTTCGTGTACACTTTAAGAAATTTATAACTTTATTTGTATTTGCGATAGAAATAATTTGTAAAAAAGGATTTGAAAGAAGTAAATCTATATATTTTAAGGTTTTATTGAAATTTTATTTAAGTTTCCACATGTCCTCCATCATTGGCAATACGATTTTGCAGTTCACGGAAAACATTTGCTATACTTAAAACGAGGTACATTAAACTTTATAACATTTTTTAAAGATTATTTCTATCGCAAATACAAATAAAGTTATAATTTTTTAAAAGTGTACACGAACTTTATGGACGCCCTGTATATATATATATATATATATATATATATATATATATATACATGTATGGACGCCCTGTATGGATATATATATATATATATATATATATATATATATATATATATATATATATATATACACTTGGGAAATGAAAATAAAAGACATTTAAACGGCTATATCGTGAGTATGAACGGATTTATATTAAAAATTAGCAACATGATGTCTAATTTAATCAATCAAACATGTTTAAAAGATAATTTGCTGCCTAAATACACAAATTATATATATATATATAAAATTTGTGTATTTAGGCAACAAATTTGCTGCCTAAATGCACAAATTATATATATATATATATATATATATATAACAAGTAGAAGTTTGAAAAAACGCATTTATGAGCACAAAAGAGACCTCACAAAAAACAACTTAGCTAATGCACTAATCATACATAGAAATAAATTCAACCATAATTTTGATTTTAAAAATGCTACACTCATAAAAAAAAAGAAAATAACTCACTCAGAAGAAATATTCTGGAGAGTGCCGCCATAGAAAATTACCCAAATATTAATATATATATATACAAGTATATAATTGGTATATACGGAATGAATTCCAATAACCAACAATTACTATTCTTAAAAGAGTGCCATATAATGGTTAAAACTAAATTAGGGCGTATATTTCTAAACCTCATCAAAAAAACATTTCCCCAACCCTGAAACTAACCCACTTAGTAAAATATTTAATCCTAATACCCTTAAATTAAGCTACAGTTGTGCTGATAACCTGGAGATGATAATTACAAAACATAACAACATAGTCTTTAACAAGTATAGGAATTCAAAAGGCTTGACTAATCAACAGGTTACTAACTGCAATACTAAATATAAGAATACAAATAACAACTTATGTAATTGTAGGAATCCGAATAATTGTCCACTACAAAATAACTGTGGGATTACTTCTGTAGTCTATCTTAGTACTATTTCAACAATTGAAAATCCAAATATAAAGAAGTTTTACATTGGTTCTACCATAAAAACATTCAAGGAACGCTGGCAGGGGCATATGCAATCCTTTAATCACAGTGAATATAGGTACATGATTTCATTATGCAAGTATTTTTCGAATCTAAAAGATAAGAACAAAACACCTACGGTTAAATGGAGTTTGGTTAAGAAAGCTCGGACATGTAACTCCCTATATGCCCCATGTTACTTATGCCTTAATGAAAAATTTGAAATTATTAGATTTAAAAACAAGGCTGATCTCTTAAATCAAAGATATGAACTTACAGTTAATTGTAAACACCGTTATAAATTTAACTTAGTGAAGAGGTCGTATACTTTAAATGATAATGATATGTCGCTGTATTTTTAATAGATTAGTATTTTTATTGATGGTGGTCATACTTACGATATAAATGTGTATTGTTTACCTGCATAGTGTTATTAGTGTTGGTGTATATGTGTATATATTTATTTATGTGTTGGTTAGAGTATTTGCACTGAGGAATGTGTAGGTTTGAATATAAGTGTATTTATATGTTTTTTTATATATATGTGTGTGTGTGTGTGTGTGGGTGTGTGTGTGTGTGTGTATATATATATATGTGTGTGTGTGTGTGTGTGTGTATATATATATAATGTGGGATGGTATGGTAGATTAGAAGAGAAAAGGTTAATAATTGTTGATGTATATGTGTATGTGTTTTCCTATATATGTATGTGTGTATGTGTGTGTATATGTATGTATATGTGTGTATATGTGTGTATGTGTGTATATGTATGTATATATGTATGTATATATGTAAATATATATATATATATATGTATATATATATATATATGTATGTATATATATATATGTATGTGTGTATGTGTGTATATGTATGTATGTGTGTGTATGTGTATATATATAAATATGTATATGTGTATGTATGATAACATCACGGCGATATAATGGTTGGCAAGCATGGTTCGCTAGTTCAATTGCGACTGAATAATGAGTTCGTTCCTCACTGGGTGCCCCCTAATTTCGGCTTTGTGCCACGATATATTTGTATATATATGTATGTGTGTGTGTATATGTGTATGTATGTGTGTATATATATATATATCTGTGTGTGTATATATGTATATATCTGTATGTGTCCTATTTTATTGTGTATGTATATTTATATTTAAGTATATTTCTGTTTGTATGAATGTGTTTATATATTTGTATGTTAGGCTATTTGTATATTGCTGTGTGTTGGTATTTGAATGTATATTTATGTATCTATATGTTAGTACGTTTATATATGTATTTGGTTGAGTGTTGTTGTATTTTTATGTATGCATGTATATATTGGTAGTTGTTATTGTAGATAGATATATTTATATATATGTTTATTTGTAGATATGTATGTATGTGTGTATATATATTTATGTATGTTTGTGTATGTATATATGTGTGTGTTGGCACCTATTATGTATGAGTTTGTTTGTGTGTATGTGTGGGTATGGAAACTTTGGTATATCATGACTGTTTTTATATAAGTAAGTGTGTGTACATAAAAGTCTATGTGTATATATGTGTGTGTATTTAGGTTTATATGTATATGTGTGTGCATGTGTACTTGTTATCATAGATATGTATATGTGCGTATATGTTTATGTTTATATATTTATTTGTATGTATTTCTGTATGTATATGTATGTATGAGTGTATGTTTATGTGTGTTAATTTGTGTTTTGTCATGTATATATATATATATATATGTATCTGTGGGTTTCTTTATCCTGTTTTTCTTTGCCTAATATATAATGAAACTATTATCAACTTATATGATTAATATATATTTTTATTGATATTTGTGGTTTTGGAATTTTCGTTTTAATATATTGAATAATATTATTTTTAACCATTTTTATCTTTGTATATTTGCTCTCTTAAGTTATAATTTAATAAGTGGTTAGCATTTATTTAATGATACTTTAAGTCTGAAATATTTATTGGTTGTGGTATCTGATTGTCTATGTCATTTTCTGTGGATGTATGTATGTGTATCTATCGGTGTCTATGTGTATGTAGAGTGTATTCACATTTAACTCTGTGTGTGTATAAGTGTTGGTTTCCACGTCTCCTCTTTTCATTAAGGGCTGTAGAGATGTTCATGTCTCCCCCCCCTTTTGTGTATGTGTGTGTGTGTATATCTAATTATGTCTGGGTGCTTATGTATTATAATCTGATTGTGTTTTTGTTGTTTTGCGCGTGAGTTTAAGACCACATTCACACACTTTAAAATAAAAAAGGAAAAGAAAGGGAAAAAAAAAAATATATATACATGTATTGTCAAATGACTGGATATATTGTAGCGTATTGTCGAACGTAATTTCAATGAAGAAATGAATTGAATAAACATATATATTTTTTCTTTTCTCAATAATTTTGTAGTTTTTAAACTTAATAGTGATTAAATTTGGATTTTAAAATTGTCAGTTTTTAATTTTAATATTAAATTTTATCATATAATTTTATAATTATTGGTTAGTATAAATTATTTTTAATATTACACGTATTTTAAAGATCTGAATAGCTATTATAACATGATTTCGTTGTCAAGCTTTTGAATCTTTCTATACTTGGTTTTTGATTGGTTATTCTAGCTTTTGTAACAATGTTTCCCCCTAGTGTAGGATCTTTTATTAATCTGAAACTTTTAAAACCATTTATTTTATTTTCAACATCATCACTTGATAAGACACAGAGTGTGTTGAAACAAAATGGCTATTTTTGTAGTGATTTTATAACATACTTATGTTATAATTTTTTTTTTTTAATAAAAAATAATTATATATATATATATATAAATTGTGTATTTAGGCAATAAATTCTCTATATATATGAATATATTTTTGAAAATAAAATCAACAATAGATTTGATTCTGGACAAAAACCGTACTTACAAAAAAAAAAGAAATCGGTCAATGAAACCTTATCTAGAATCTGATTTCTCACAAAGAATACATATTCTATTCATACAAATCTATCTTAAAAATCTTGTCGGCATTAAATAACTCATCGAGGTGGATATGTCGTTAAAAATAAACCAGACCAAACCAATCAACGAAGACAGATTCTCAACAAAAACTCTCTATACAGAAATACGTTAACAAAACTCATCTAGAAACTGATTTCTTACAAAGAATAAATATTCTATTCCTACGAACCTATCTTAAAAATCTAATCTTTCTTGTAGTTATTACCCATTGAGATATTGATATGCCGTAAAACGAAATAAACCAAACCAAACCTGATCTCTTTTTTGACAAACATTTACACAAATGCCATCCATTTACACTTAACTAACTCGTTAGGCAAGATATACATCGTTTTTCTTTGTTCCTCTTGCCTTCAGTATATCTTGTGAGTGTCAAATTTGCCAAACACTCATTCCTCACTATGTGATTTCAAAATTTCAACAGTCTATTTCTCATTCAAC